TTTGGTAGTGTATATATGTCCATGCCACTCTCTCGCTTTGACACAGCTCACCCTTCCCCCTCCCCATATCCTCAAGTCCATTCTCTAGTAGGTCTGTGTCTTTATTCCCGTCTTACCCCTCGGTTCTTCATGACATTTCTCTTTCTTAAATTCCATATATATGTGTTAGCATACGGTATTTGTCTTTCTCTTTCTGACTTACTTCACTCTGTATGACAGACTCTAGGTCCATCCACCTCACTACAAATAACTCAATTTCGTTTCTTTTTATGGCTGAGTAATATTCCATTGTATATATGTGCCACATCTTTATGCATTCATCCGATGATGGACACTTAGGTTGTTTCCATCTCCGGGCTATTGTAAATAGAGCTGCAATGAACATTTTGGTACATGACTCTTTTTGAATTCTGTTTTTCTCAGGGTATATGCCCAGTAGTGGGATTGCTGGGTCATATAGTAGTTCTATTTGTAGATTTTTAAGGAACCTCCATACTGTTCTCCTTAGTGGCTGTACCAATTCACATTCCCACCAGCAGTGCAAGAGTGTTCCCTTCTCTCCACACCCTCTCCAGCATTTATTGTTTCTAGATTTTTTGATGATGGCCATTCTGACTGGTGTGAGATGATCTCTCATTGTAGTTTTGATTTGCGTTTCTCTAATGATTAATGATGTTGAGCATTCTGTCATGTGTTTGTTGGCAGTCTGTATATCTTCTTTGGAGAAATCTCTACTTAGCTCTTCTGCCCATTTTTGGATTGGGTTGTTTGTTTTTTTTTTTTTGTTATTGAGCTGCATGAGTTGCTTATAAATTTTGAAGATTAATCCTTTGTCAGTTGCTTCATTTGCAAATATTTTCTCCCATTCTGAGGGTTGTCTTTTCATCTTGTTTATGGTTTCCTTTGCTATGCAAAAGCTTTGAAGTTTCCTTAGGTCCCATTTGTTTATTTTTGTTTTTATTTCCATTTCTCTAGGAGGTGGGTCAAAAAGGACCTTGCTGTGATTTATGTCATAGAGTTTTCTGCCTATGTTTTCCTCTGAGAGTTTGATAGCTTCTGGCCTTACATTTAGGTCTTTAATCCATTTTGAGCTTATTTTTGTGTATGGTGTTAGGGAGTGTTCTAATCTCATACCTTTACATGTACCTGTCCAATTTTCCCAGCACCACTTATTGAAGAGGCTGTCCTTTCTCCACTGTACGTTCCTGCCTCCTTTATCACAGATAAGGTGACCATATGTGCGTGGGTTTGTCTCTGGGCTTTCTATCCTGTTCCACTGATTGATATTTCTCTTTTTGTGCCAGTACCATACTATCTTGATAACTGTAGCTTTGTAGTATAGTCTGAAGTCAGGGAGCCTGATTCCTCCAGCTCCGTTTTTCGTTCTCAAGATTGCTCTGGCTATGCGGGGTCTTTTGTGTTTCCATACAAATTGTGAAGTTTTTTTTTTTCTAGTTCTGTGAAAAATGCCAGTGGTAGTTTGATAGGAATTGCACTGAATCTGTAGATTGCTTTGGGTAATAGAGTCATTTTCACAGTGTTGATTCTTCTAATCCAAGAACATGGTATACCTCCTCATCTATTTCTATCATCTTTAATTTCTTTCATCAGTATCTTATAATTTTCTGCATACAGGTCTTTTGTCTCCTTCGGTAGGTTTATTCCTAGATATTTTATTCTTTTTGTTGCAGTGGTAAATGGGAGTGTTTTCTTGATTTCACTTTCAGATTTTTCATCACTAGTGTATAGGAATGCCAGAGATTTCTGTGCATTAGTTTTGTATCCTGCTACTTTACCAAATTCATTGATTAGCTCTAGTAGTTTTCTGGTAGCATCTTTAGGATTCTCTATATATAGTATCATGTCATCTGCAAACAGTGACAGCTTTACTTCTTCTTTTCCGATTTGGATTCCTTTTATTTCCTTTGCTTCTCTGATTGCTGTGGCTATAAGTTCCAAAACTATGTTGAGTAAGAGTGGTGAGAGTGGCCAACCTTGTCTTGTTCCTGATCTTAGTGGAAATGCTTTCAGTTTTGCACCATTGAGGACGATGTTGGCTGTGGGTTTGTCATATATGGCCTTCATTATGTTGTGGAAAGTTCCCTCTGTGCCTATTTTCTGCAGGATTTTTATCATAAATGGGTGTTGAATTTTGTCGAAAGCTTTCTCTGCATCTATTGAGATGATCATGTGGTTTTTCTCCTTCAGTTTGTTAATATGGTGTATCATGTTGTTTGATTTGCGTATATTGAAGAATCCTTGCATTCCTGGAATAAACCCCACTTGATCATGGTGTATGATCCTTTTAATGTGCTGATGGATTCTTTGCTAGTATTTTGTTGAGGATTTTTACATCTATGTCCATCAGTGATATTGGCCTGTAGTTTTCTTTCTTTGTGACATCCTTGTCTGGTTTTGGTATCAGGGTGATGGTGGCCTCATAGAATGAGTTTGGGAGTGTTCCTCCCTCTGCTATATTTTGGAAGACTTTGAGAAGGATAGGTGTTAGCTCTTCTCTAAATGTTTGATAGAATTCGCCTGTGAAGCCATCTGGTCCTGGGCTTTTGTTTGTTGGAAAATTTTTCATCACAGTTTCACTGGCAGTGCTTGCGATTGGTCTGTTCGTATTTTCTATTTCTTCCTGATTCAGTCTTGGCAGGTTGTGCATTTCTAAGAATTTGTCCATTTCTTCCAGGTTGTCCATTTTATTGGCATAGAGTTGCTCGTAGTAATCACTCATGATCCTTTGTATTTCTGCAGTGTCAGTTGTTACTTTTCATTTCTAATTCTATTGATTTGAGTGTTTCCCTTTTTTTCTTGATGAGTCTGGCTAATGGTTTATAAATTTTGTTATCTTCTCAATGAACAAGGTTTTAGTTTTATTGATCTTTGCTAGCGTTTCCTTCATTTCTTTTTCATTTATTTCTTTTCTGATCTTTATGATTTCTTTCCTTCTGCTAACTTTGGGGGTTTTTTGTTCTTCTTTCTCTAATTGCTTTAGGTGCAAGGTTAGGTTGTTTATTCGAGATGTTTCCTGTTTCTTAAGGTAGGATTGTATTCCTATAAACTTCCCTCTTAGAACTGCTTTTGCTGCATCCCATAGGTTTTGGGTGGTTGTGTCTCCATTGTCATTTGTTTCTTGGTATTTTTTTATTTCCTCTTTGATTTCTTCAGTGATCACTTCGTTATTAAGTAGTGTATTGTTTAGCCTCCATGTGTTTGTATTTTTTACAGATCTTTTCCTGTAATTGATATCTAGTCTCATAGTGTTGTGGTCGGAAAAGATACTTGATACAATTTCAGTTTTCTTAAACTTACCAAGGCTTGATTTGTGACCCAAGATATGATCTATCCTGGAGAATGTTCCATGAGCACTTGAGAAAAATGTGTATTCTGTTGTTTTTGGATGGAATGTCCTATAAATATCAATTAAGTCCATCTTGTTTAATGTATCATTTAAAGCTTGTGTTTCCTTATTTACTTTCATTTTGGATGATCTGTCCATTGGTGATAGTGGGGTGTTAAAGTCCCCTACTGTGAATGTGTTACTGTCGATTTCCCCTTTTATGGCTGTTAGTATTTGCCTTATGTATTGAAGTGCTCCTATGTTGGGTGCATAAATATTTACAATTGTTATATCTTCTTCTTGGATCGATCCCTTGATCATTATGTAGTGTCCTTCTTTGTCTCTTTTAATAGTCTTTATTTTAAAGTCTGTTTTGTCTGATATGAGAATTGCTACTGCAGCTTTCTTTTGTTTTCCACTTGCATGAAATATCTTTTTCCATCCCCTTTCAGTGTGTATGTGTCTCTAGGTCTGAAGTGGGTCTCTTGTAGACAGCATATATATGGGCCTTGTTTTTGTATCCATTCAGCCAATCTGTGTCTTTTGGTGGGAGCATTTAGTCCACTTACATTTAAGGTAATTATCGATATGTATGTTCCTATTCCCATTTTCTTGCTTGTTTTGGGTTATTAAAATAAAAAATAATTAGTAAGAAAAAAATGTTTTTAAAAAGAAAACAAAAAAAGGAAGGATAGAACCCTAGAACAAATGGTGGAAGTTCTCAGCTTTTGCTTGTCTGTAAAGGTTTTAATTTCTCCATCAAATCTGAATGAGATCCTTGCTGGGTAGAGTAATCTTGGTTGCAGGTTTTTCTCCTTCATCACTTTCAGTATGTCCTGCCACTCCCTTCTGGCTTGTAGAGTTTCTGCTGAGAGATCAGCTGTTAACCTTATGGGGATTCCCTTGTGTGTTATTTGTTGTTTTTCCCTTGCTGCTTTTAATATGCTTTCTTTGTATTTAGTTTTTGACCGCCTCTGCGTGTAGGTCGCTGGAGGGCGTCTGTTCTTCGCTCAGACAGGACGGGGTTAAAGGAGCAGCTGATTCGGGGGCTCTGGCTCACTCAGGCCGAGGGGAGGGAGGGGTACGGAGTGTGGGGTTAGCCTGCGGCGGCAGAGGCCAGTGTGACGTTGCACCAGCCTGAGGCTCGCAGTGCGTTCTCCCGGGGAAGTTGTCCCTGGATCCCAGGACCCTGGCAGTGGCGGGCTGCACAGGCTCCCCAGAAGGGAGGTGTGGATAGTGACCTGTGCTCGCACACAGGCTACCTGGTGGCGGCAGCAGCAGCCTTAGCGTCTCATGCCCGTTGCTGGGGTCCGCGCTTTTAGCCGCAGCTCCCGCCAGTCTCTGGAGCTCCTTTAAGCAGCGCTCTTAAACCCCTCTCCTCGCGCACCAGGAAACAAAGAGGGAAGAAAAAGTCTCTTGCCTCTTCGGCAGGTCCAGACTTTTCCCCGGACTCCCTCCCGGCTAGCCGTGGTGCACTAACCCCTTGCAAGCTGTGTTCGCGCCGCCAACCCCAGTCCTCTCCCTGTGTTCTGACCGAAGCCCGAGCCTCAGCTCCCAGCCTCCGCCCACCCCGGCGGGTGAGCAGACAAGCCTCTCGGGCTGGTGAGCGCCGGTCGGCCCCGATCCTCTGTGCGGGAATCTCTCTGCTTTACCCTCCGCACCCCCGTGGCTGTGCTATCCTCCTTTGTTCCCAAGCTCCCCTCCCCCCCTCCGCCACCCGCAGTCTCCGCCCGCGAAGGGGCTTCCTAGTGTGTGGAAACCTTTCCTCCTTCACAGCTCCTTCCCACTGGTGCGGGTCCTGCCCCTATCCTTTTGTCTCTGTTTATTCTGTTTTCTTTTGCCCTACCCAGGTACGTGGGGACTTTCTTGCCTTTTGGGAGGTCTGAGGTCTTCTGCCAGCGTTCAGTAGGTGTTCTGTAGGAGTTGTTTCACGTGTAGATGTATTTCTGGTGTATCTGTGGGGAGGAAGGTGATCTCCGAGTCTTACTCTTCTGCCATCTTCCCCTTGTCCCCCCTATTAGGCTAATATTAAATTCTTCTTGTTATTTTCTTTCTTTGGTCCTCTATGATGATCTTAGAGGAAGAAGCCAGCAGTTGTGCTAGCTTCAGCAATTAGAACTGTCACCTCCAAACAGCAGCAGTGTTGTTTTCATATCTATTATAACTGTAAAGATTGATGTCTAACTGATTAAGGATCCAGTAATTGCATAATAATACCTGCTAGTGCTTCCTCTTTGAAGTTCCTCATTAAGAAAATAAGCTTTAAAAATATTCTTAAAATTAGTATCTCCTGCTTTTAAATAAGACTTTAAAGTAAGACTTCTCTAGCCAATTTTGCAAAGCAAGATTTTTTTTAACATACAAACTGTTATCAACAAAGGAACTATTATTCATATAGTAAGGTTAATATTTCTGTAAATGTGTAATTTTTACTTTCAACAATTTCATGTTTAGACTAATTTTTCATTCTTAGTGGACTAGTACCTTTACTGTATTCTATGAAGAATTTTTAAGACTTGTTTTAATAAAAAAATCACATTTATATGTGTTTTCCATAGATAGTGGAGTTGGAGCAGGGATTGATTCATATTATGAATATCTGTTGAAAGCCTATGTCTTGCTTGGAGATGACAGCTTTCTGGAAAGATTTAATACAGTAAGTTGTTCCAATTTTGTATTAAGTTTAGAGCCAATTTAATTTGCCAGATTTTGATAGAAACTCAATCATCTAAGTGACATTCTGAAAAACTATTTTTAAATGTGTAGTAGTTTTTTGGTCAGTATTCCCTGATGATGTTGGACAGGGACAGGGAAAACACTACATACATTGCAAAAACTAGATTACAAAGTAGTTTTATTTTCATCTATCATCAGAAGTTTTCAAGATTTTCCAGTGAGTAATATATAGATTTGAGTTTTACCTAATCTTTTATACAAGAAAGAGAATTTATTGAAATCCAAAGCCTTCTCATTTGGATTCCAATTCTTTTTGGAATAGTTTGGAAGTTTGGCCTAGTCCTTGACCACACCAAGTGTTCAGGACTTTGGAGACTTGAACAAACCAGTGAGTATTCATTTCAAAAGCAGGTCTGTTAAGTCTTAAGTGTGGATCAGACTCACAGGCAGGTTTTTAGGGGAGAAGGGAGAGATTATTGAACCCTATTGGATCGCCGTTGTCTGTAATTAAAGCAAATTGAAATTAACTGTAGTAAACTCATCAGCTGTGTCAGTACATTCTTTTCAAAATAATTTACCATTTCTTTGCCCACCCATGAGTTCACCCACATTATTGTGAGATAGTACAATATAGTGGTTAAAAGTATGAGAGTTCTCCTGTGTGGGTTTAAATCCTGGTTGTGCGACTGGTTTTGTGGCTTTGGGCAAGTAACTTAGATATTTTCCTCTATTCCTTATCCACAAAATGGGAATGCTAGTACTATTTATTGGGAGGATTAAATGAGCTAATGCATATGAACTGATTAGAACAGTGCTTTAAGATCTGTCAGGTACTCAATAATAGGTAATAAATAATAGATGAGTTAGGGAAAAAACCTGGTAAAAGTCCTAATAAGTCATCACTGAATACTTTTAGAAACACTATTACATATATCATTTAATATATCATTTATTAGATTATAACAAGATTTTCTTGAGGTGCATGAGGACAGTTTGTTTTTATTGGTTTTTTTTATCAGTCATTGACTCTGACAGCTCAACCTGTTGTTGTCAAGGCTGAGAAATATCTAGGAGAAGATAAAAGAAGGGGAAAAGAGTTTTTAAGACCATAAAAGGCAGAGGTAGTGGACCGTAAGAGTGGCAACAGTGATGAGATGCATTAGTTTAGGTAGATAAGCACCAGAATGTTATGTTAGCTGCCTAGGGAGCAAACTTCCTAGACAAAGGAGAAAGTGAAACTAATTCTGTGATATAGAAGCCTGTAACTGTATTTCAAGAGGACGTAAGAGCATCCTTGGGCCACAATTCTGCAGGATAGTGATGTTCAGGTCTATACCCTTCAGAAGGTCCCATTTTATCTATAGTTTTTAGTATTCTGCATCAGAGTTTAAGAACACAGGGGAGTATATATAGTATATTTTACAAAGATTTCCATCTAAAGGAATTTAACTATTTCCATAGTTAATTAACAGTTACTTAGTAAATTTATTCATATGTAAATTCGGGTTTCATTTCTTCATATATTTAATGATACCCTGTGTTTAGAATAGTACAGCTTTTTTCATCTACTTTCATGAACACATATTGTGATCTTTTTTAGCACTACGATGCCATAATGAGGTACATAAGCCAGCCACCTCTTCTACTTGATGTGCATATCCACAAGCCAATGCTGAATGCTCGGACTTGGATGGATGCTTTGCTTGCCTTTTTTCCAGGTTTGCAGGTAAAAAAAACTCTTAATTCTCTTAATATTAAAGTAAAATGATTATAATTAAGTGTATTTGTGATCTCTAAAATTGAATTACCAAAACAGAGTCACACTTCAAAATTGTATTAATCTACATTTTTCTGTTCATATAATGATTATAGATAAAGTCAACTCATATTTTACTGGATAATTTTGTTGTTATTGTTGGTTTCTAGGTCTTAAAGGGGGATATTAGACCTGCTATTGAAACTCATGAAATGTTATATCAGGTGATTAAAAAACACAATTTTCTACCAGAGGTAAGCAAATCATCTTTGGAATTCTAATTTACATATACTATAGATTGCTAATTTAAAGGTAGAAAATGCCATCTTCAAGGTTGCTTTGTTCTTTTTCATTTTTCCTGGTTAAATAGCTTATTTAATATATTTTTGGTTTACACAGTATTGTGTATGTTTTTCCTTTTCCTTGTGTATTAAGAGAAGTCTAGTTTAGGACAATGCTGACAGTTTACTAATTTAATGTTAAAAAAAATCCCAAATTGGTATTTCTCAGCCTTTTCTAATCCATGCCATTGCATAGTGTCTCATTCTAACTTTTACACTTACCCACTAGCTAGGGAGACTTTTGTACTTTTTATTTTCTAAAGCTTATTTTATGAAAACAATATACATTGAACATACTCTTGCTGATCACACATGCTCCCTGGAAATTTGGAAATGTTAGCTCTTCTTCACGCTGCTTAAGAATTATTCTCCCTGGTTTTTATATGTTAGTAATAAGTATTCTTGCTAGCTTGATACCATAAGATTTTAATAGCATGCCTTTTGGCTTTCCAGAAATGTACCATTAAAAATTTCCAAATTTGTGTATGGCCTTGTTCTATCCCTACTTATTGACTACCCTCTGTGAGATATCTAAGCATCCCACCAATTTAGAAGGCTTCCTAAAGTGTTTGTTTCAAGCCACAGAGGATTTGAGACTCATAAAAAAAGCATCTGCTAAAATAGGAATAGGAGAGTGAGAGACTTAATAATTAAGAGAAAAAAGTGGAGATAAGAAAAAAGAAGAGAACACAATTATGCAGAAAATGAGGACCTGTGTAGTGGCATTACTGAGGTCATAGCTTTTCCTAAGCTTCCTAATAGCCAAAGTGATCATTTAAAAAAGGAATTCCATTTAATTGGTAAAAATAACAACCTTCACAAAAATGAATTGTGATTTTAAGCAGTGATAATTTTCATTTTATAGATGAAAATTGTTATCAATATTTTAACTGTCTTTTCTTGTTTGTGATCTAATTTATATACTGTATATTCTAGAACTACTTATTTTTTTAAATCACATTTTTTTGCCTATTTGTGTGTTTTGTCTAGGCATTTACCACAGATTTCAGGGTGCATTGGGCTCAACATCCTTTAAGGCCAGAATTTGCAGAAAGTACCTACTTCTTGTATAAAGTAAGCTAATTTAACTCTCTTTTTGCTATTTAGCTCATGTTCTCTGTTGGATAACTCACTATCTTATAGTAATAGTATCGGCTCTTCAAAATTCTTGTTTAATATTATAATGGTTGGATATATCATGGTTCTTATTCACCTAGTTCATAGAGTTATTGAAAGATGCAAGAATTGACATCTAAGTTTTATGCCTTTTCAAAATACTTACGAAGCATTTCTTTAAAGAGAAATTTTATATTCTAGAGCTGCTTTCTAAAGCATGTCTCTTGCCTTCCTTTAATCAGGCAACCTTTCTGGGCATTAGAAATTTCATCCAAAGCCTAAGATGTACAGTTGTGCAGCTTTCCAGTTGTGTATTTAAGAAATTCATAAAGCAGATGCATGGCTTACTTTCAGAACTAGGTTCTATGTAACATGTGTTCTAGTGCCTGATATAATCCCTGGCACCTAGTTGGTACTCAATAAGTATTTGATAAATAAATGGTTATATGGTACTATGTAAGCTATGTATATGTATACATATATTCTCCTTTTTAATAGGCTACAGGAGATCCTTACTACCTTGAAGTAGGGAAAACACTTATTGAAAATTTAAATAAATACGCTAGAGTGCCTTGTGGATTTGCTGCCATGAAGGATGTTCGTACTGGAAGTCATGAGGACAGGTAAAACAATTCCTAACCTCCCCTTTCCTCAGGGTAACTCTGAAACAACACAAAATATTATTAGTCAGATTTCAGATCAGCTTAATGCTTTTACAAAGGGTATTTGAAGATGCAAGCCTTAGTTCATTGTGCTTATTTTTTAAACTCTCTTGAATAGGCTTATTTTAAATTGTTTGAAAAGTCTGTGTTTTTACCATAGTGCCTGGCATATAGTTGGTGCTCAAATGATTTTTAAATAGATGAATAAATGATTGTTAAACATCAGAACCTTGGTCTTTGGAGTATTAGGAAAGTTGGGGTTTTCTTCTTTGTTAACAGTTTTTTATATTATGTAAAATGTTAGAAATTATCAAGATGATGACTAATGATCTGGATTATGATTCCTGTTCAGTCAAGAATTCCTCAAAAGCAATATCTTGGTTAATGTGTATATTCTTATTCTGTTGCTGATTTGGAGAGCTGGGGAGGCCCATTGGCAGTTTCTATTTCATTGGATACTGGATAGATGTAGTTGACATGGAGTATTCAAGATATGAAAAGCACCCTTTGGTTAATATGATATTCACTAACATTCCAGTTATTCTGAGATCATTTGATTCTGTTATTTTAACTGTCCAGAACATAGCAACACATTTCTAAATAAACACTAAAGTTTGTTTGTTCATTTGGTGTTCATTCCACAAATATTTACTGAGGTGTCTTATGTGCCAGAGTTATACTAGGTTTTGAAGATTAAAGATAAAAAGACATGTCTTTTCTATCATTGAATCACTGGGGCAGGCAGATAAACAGGCTTTAAAGCATTGTATATGTGCTATGAAACATACTAAAGGGACGTGAAATGCAGATTGGGATATGACAGTCACTTGAGCGTCCTGTGTCCTGAAGGATCAGGACTAGAAAACTAGGAAAAGGAAAGTAGTAAAAGGAGTTTCCGGCAGAGGAACTAGGGACAGGTGAAATACAACACTCATTATCTACTCACAGAATTGACCCTCAGTCCTTCTCTTGGAGCACTTAGATAATAGTTAATTAGGCTTGGGACCTCCTTCCCCGACTACAGCTGATAAGAAATAGATAGGTTTCTGGAAGCAGACACATAGAAAACAGCAAGAAATGAAAGCAGATAGCTTTTGTATTTATCTGTAACATTTATTGGCTGCTTCCTACATTTCAAGCACTCTTCTAATTAAGCACTTTCTATGTTTAATTCATTTGATCCTTTACAGCCACCCTCTGAAGTATAATTTCTATTATGATCTTCATTTTATAGATGAAGAAACCAAGGCACAGGGAGTTGGGGAGCTTGCCTGAGGTCACACAGTTAGTAAGGTTAGTTCTAATCAAGGCAGATAGGCTTTTCACTATATGCTCTACTGGCAGCTCATTCAAGGAACAGTAAATTAATCGCCCGCTGTGCACCAGACGCTGCACTTGGGTAAGAGGATGAAAAGATAAAAGAATCAGTCCCTGCCCGCCTGTGTCTTATGGTCAGTGAAGAAGATAGGTATGTAAAGAAGTAATCACTGCCACATGATGAGCGCTAGAGCAGAAGGAAACGTAGCAGGTGGAGGAATTACAGAGGAAGACATGATTTGCTCTGTTCAGAGAGTTCCGTGTTTCTAAATTCAGCGTCCTTCCTCTTCCTCCTGCTGAGTGTCCCTCCCGCGGCGCTGTTTCTGCATCTCTGACGGCCCGTGCCGCACTCTGGTTGCGCAGTCCAGTGTGCAGAGTACCCCTTGAAGCATCACGTCCAGAGTTAACGATGGCCGAGGTGCACTTGGTGCAGCAGCGCTGTTGCCGTCTGGGTCCAGGCGCGAGACGGGTCATCTTCTGAGGGGCTGGTGGGCTTACACCCTTTCTCCACTTGAGGATCACCGCTTGGTCTTCTCACTGTTCCTTGTGGTAGTGTTGTGTCTCTCGCATGCATTTGGCCCAACAAGAGGTTGAGAACTCCTAATGCTTGTCTTACCACGTTCTTGGATGTGCTTTAGCAGCTTTCTTACGTTTAACAGACAGTGAACTTGTGGCCAGTTGACCTCAGATACTTGACAATGACTTGCTGACAAATGGGTGTTCTCTACCCTGCTCTTAAGAAACTGATTTATTTTTTAAAAGTTCAAACTTAGAACTTAATACTCATCCCAGCAAAATTTCATTTTGTTGGCGTTTTTTTGTGTGTGTTTGTGCATTTCTAGACCAAAAAGAAGGCTTAAATTTCATCTCAGTCATCTAATGTATTAGCTAAATTACTGTTTTCAGGGATCTTAAAATTTTCCATGTAATGGTCTTTGCATTTGGTTGCTTGTTCCCCTATGGAGCTACCAGTGCTGTTGTCTGGCTCACCAGTGTCTCCATTCCCTGGCCCCCACCACACAGTTTTCCAAAAAAAATCTGTATTTTTCTTATAATAAATGATCAGTTAAAGAATTTAAATGGCAAAAAAATATGAAAATCTTCCCTACGATACTTTCCCCACTTGCCATCCTAAGATAATCACTGTTGGCAGTTTTAGAAACAGTCTTCCAGACATTTTTCATGCCTGTGTGTTTGCATTTGTGTACATATTTATGGTTTTAAAGTACAAAATAGATTATGTGATACGATACCCAAACTTGCTAGCTTTACCCAACTCATACTGCAGTGATCTTACCACGTCTCTAGTCTTTTCCAAACATTTACAAATCATCTGTTTCGTAATCACTTGTGGAATTTGCCAAAAATCAAAATCTTGCACATCAGTTTACAGTTCTTAAGCTAACATTTGCTTATGGTAATAACCGTCAGTCCTCCAGAAAAAGTTAAATTACTGTAAGTATTGCAGATTGACAGGGAAGTATTTTATCTGTTATAAAATGATTAACATCCAAAATGTTCAAAGAAGTTTTGAAACATTACAGTTGTTGTTCCAAAATAAAACATCATTTATGTCTGGGAAAAATAATGCTAGCGCTATTTTTGAGCTCATACGCATGCCGGGTGCTATGCTAAATAGTTGACATTACAGTATGTCATTTAATCTTTGCACCACTGTTAGGCATGTATCATTATTATGTCCTTTCTGAATAAACTGAAGCTCACAGTCCTTATATAATATCCCCTTGGTCACATAGCTCGTCATCAGAAGTTCTTTTCTATTTCCAAAGCCCCAGCTCTTTACTGCTATGTCCAGCTGCCTCTCCAGTTCATTCTTTAGTAAGGCTGTTTAAACTTGCATTCGCAAACATTTATCAAGTGCCTGCTGTGTGCCAGGAATTGTGCTTGGCCAGTTACGAAACTATGCAGCCTGTCTAGTAACTGCTAAAAGCTAGGATGCTTTGGGAAGTAGCACATATAATTAAATTCCTTGTTATTGTAACTCCATCTAATGACTGTGCTCTTTTCCTACCACTTTTTATAAAAGCTTTCCTTCAAAATGTTCATTAAAATGTTATAACATTAAATCATTTGTAAAGTCACACTGGGCAGGTATTTAAATGTTTACAAAGTTATCATCATAGTCCATGTGATTTTATGTTGTACTATTTTCATGTAACTTTTTGTACATGATTACTTTTAAAGCCTTCTTGGTTATCACTTAAATGGCTGCATCAAAATTGTATTACTTTATCCAGTTCAATTAATATTAATTGAAGATTCTTATATGGTCCTCAGTAGTAAAGGTCATCTGCATTACCTCCCTGCTGTTGGTTCCCTGCAGAAGAAATGGAAAGCTCTCCCTCAGAAGGCCCATAGAAAAACCTTGTCTGCGGTATTGACAAGATTTAGTGTACCTGTGTGGTAGGCAGCCCTTCTGGTCTTTTTCATTTCCTTGGAATATGCTTGGAGTCAAGGCTATTACCACCAGGGGATAAATACATTCTATAGTTCTTTGGATGTCTGTACTGGTGTAGACAGGTTTATTGACCTTGATTCTGTGGCTTTCAGATAGTTGACATTTGGATATTTTTATGTTCTTTGATTTATTTGTAACCTTTTATTTTAGAATGGATTCCTTCTTCTTGGCCGAAATGTTTAAATATCTTTACCTGTTATTCGCGGATAAAGAAGACGTTATTTTTGACATAGAAGATTACATTTTTACAACAGAAGCTCATCTGTTACCTCTTTGGCTCTCTACTACAAATCAAAGAATCTCTAAGAAGAACACAGTAGGTTATGTTTTTCAACTAAATGTCTTACTCTCTTTATACTCCTATGTGTTTGTTTTGTTTTTCCAAGGAAAAAGTAATCCATGACTAGAATTCTATAAATATAGTGTGGTAGGAGAAGTACCCTTGATGTTTTCTTATTTTGTTTTCTTGTATTACATCCTGTGTATACTTACGTTTCACTTGAACAAACTATAAAGTAAAATTATTTTTATTTACATAACATTCTTTTATATTTTTAGACTTCAGAATATACAGAACTGGATGACAGTAATTTTGATTGGACTTGTCCAAACACTCAGATTCTCTTCCCTAATGACCCATTGTACGCTCAGAGCATTCGTGAACCCTTGAAAAATGTGGTGGACAAGAGCTGTCCTAGAGGCATCATCAGAGTGTAAGATGTCTTATTTTATATTTGTTAATATCAAAATTAATTCTTAGTAAATGACAGAGAATGTAAGGAACATATAACAACCAAGAAGACATTCATTTAGATCAAAAATATTTAGTATGTACTTATCACTGATTAAAATTAAAAATTGGTGGGTAAAGTTAGATAGCAAAGTTTATTCTGCAGTAATGTCTTTTTATTATTATGGAAATTTTCTGTGTATCTTTTGTTTAATGAACCAAGTAATAATGGCAGCGTATGATAGTTTGTAACTTCCACAGCACATTTTTATTTTTAACATCTTTATTGGAGTATAATTGCTTTACAGTGGTGTGTTAGTTTCTGCTTTATAACAAAGTGAATCAGCTATACATAGACATATATCCCCATATCTCCTCCCTCTTGCGTCTCCCTCCCACCCTCCCTATCCCACCTCTCTAGATCCAGAGCACATTTTTACACAACAGTTTCATCAAATATTTCCACGTTTTGTATATGTAGAAAATATTTTTCCTTTTATCTATAGTTTCTGTATAGGAAAAATAACGGTGTTTTGATTTGATTTTTTTGATGAGGTACTTATTCTTGGTTGTTGAATAAAACTTTTTGCCTTAATGAGTGCATTTTCTTCCAAGTAGTTACATTAGAAAAAACATTACTAGGAAATTTTAAAAAATTATTTTTCTTAAGTGAACGTTATCGTTCACTGATACAGGTATTGTTCTGCTTTTAAAATATTGAGAGAAACATCTGTTTTTTGAGGGAGAAATAAATAGTAATAAATCTCTAAGCCAACCTATTGTGTTCCTTCAAATAATTGTAATGCTGTTGATTAATACTGCCTTATAGATAATATACAAGCTTTTGTAACTGTAAAGTATATTTGAAAGCTATACCACTTATTAAAAACCTAAGTTATATGTAGGTAAGTAACTCTTTCTAGTTATTCCATTTTTCACTAGTTTAAAACTAGCAATTTGTTTGCCTTATGCTTTTATTCCCCATTCTGACTTGTGGGTTTTTTTAAGCCTTGCCTATAATTACTTTTAGCAGAGAGGAGAGTTTCAGGAGTGGAGCTAAACCCCCTCTGAGAGCCAGAGATTTCATGGCCACTAACCCTGAGCATTTAGAAATCTTGAAGAAGATGGGGGTGAGTTTGATTCACCTCAAAGATGGGAGAGTCCAGTTGGTTCAACATGCAATCCAAGTAAGACATTGCTGTACTAATTAGCTACCATCTCTGTCCTCTTTGGTCTCAGTAGCTTTAATAAGATAATGACATTTAATAAGATAATGACATAAAAAAATGACATTTTTTTAAAAACCTTCAGTGTGTGGTTTAAAGTCAGAGTATCAGAATTTTAGGACTTGGAAGTGTTTTGGAAAGCCATCTGATTCAACCCCTTTGTAGTATAAATCAGTCAAGTCACAAATAGGTTGAGTAATTTGCTTACGTTAATATGGTCAAATATAGGACTCAGATCTAAGTTTTCTGTTTCTCAGTCCCTTGTCTTTCCACTGTTTTATTTAGAAGATAATCTTAAAAGCTAATAATTCATTTTAATATTTATATCTCTATTTTATACTATTTTAGTTTCCAAAGAGCTGAATTTAAATACTTTATTCATTATAGAAATCAAAATATGCATTTATTTATCTATGCCTAGGAAACATACCTCTTTGGGAAATTTTTATTGGTTTTTGCTTTAAAAGCTTTCATAACCCGAGGGCTTTAAATTATCCACCTTATTACTGCATTCTAATTTTTTTAGAATGCATTACTTATTTCTAATTCTGAGAAAACTACAGTTTGAGAAATAATTTCAACCTAGAACCATATTCGGATACCCCATGATCTCGGATTCAGCCTTTCCACCACCTTGCCTTCCCCTCACCTTGCCTTCCCCTCACCTTGCCTTCCCCTCACCTTGCCTTCCCCTCAGGTTTCTGTCTCATCCCTATTCTTGCCACATCATCCCTCCTTCCCTAACGAGACTTCTGTCTGCTTCCTTACGTTTCACTCATCCTCACTCCCCAGCAGTGGGAATGACATCCCTGATGACATTGCTTTCACATGGGTCATCAGTGACATAATTGCCAGCCAGTAGCCCCTTAGTCCTCCTCTGATTGAACTTTTATGTAACTATTGGCTGGCCTCTTTTTAAAAGCTACCCCTTTCTTGGCTTCCAGGGTATTCCAGCAACACCTTTCCAAATACTCTGTGCAATGTTTTGTAGATTCCTTTGCAGCTCTTCTTGGCGTGACTCAGTGTAGGCACTACCAAAGAATCTGGATCATATGTTTTTCTTACTATACTCTTCTTCAATAGTGTCATCTATTTCTACAAGCTCTGCTGTCATCTTTGTACACGTGATACATGTATGTAATCCTGATTTTACTTTACTTCTTAAACCCAACTTTACTTTACTTTTTAAACCCAGCTATAATCTACCTGTCGTACATTTCTGCATCTCAATCTCAATCTGTCCAAACCTGAATTAATTCTCTCTCCCTGCTCCCACTGCAGTCTGTCTCTCTGCCCTTTCGTTCTCCATCTCAGTCAACCCTATCATCATTCTCTAAGTCACCAAAACTGGAAATCTCAGGATGGGCTCGCATTTCTTTCTCGCAGCTCCTTTCCGTTCTCCTCTATCCTCTATCCCTTGTCAGGTTCCGTTGACTTTTCCTGTAAGGTGTTAGGAATTCATCCTTTCCCTCCTGTAGTCAGGCACTCGTCAACTTTTCCTCTATTAAGATTCAATTTGAATCATTCCAAATATTTCCCAGATACACACTGACAGAATCAGTCCTTCCTTTGTCTATGTTACTAGTCCACTTTCCCACTTGAGAAATTTTATCATAGCTAATTTTACATGTCTCTCTCCTCTAGATACAAACTTCTTAAAGTAACAGATTATGCCTAGTCAAGTGCTGAGATGTAATAGGTGCCTGATACTTATGTTTTGAATTTAATCTGGTTGTTGGTTCATAATTTCGAAGAAGAAGGGGAATATGGGTCAGTTATGAGGTTTATTTCTTAAAAGGGCAACCAGAGGAGAAAACAAGCAAAGTGAGCATTTAGTGGAAGTGCACTTCTCAATTTGTATCAAAAGTGGTTTATAGGACAGTGAAAGAGACATTAATAAAAATTATAGATATTATATTCAGAAAATATTTCCAGAAGTAATATTTTTGAGAACAAATAAGGCCATAAATATTTGGTAGAGACCAAAACTGAGAGGAGAAATTTTAGAGTAGAAAACTATAGTGCAGTAGTATTTAAGAAATCGAAAAGTTGAAAGTTTCCAGAAAGAAAGGATAAAATTAATTTGTTTCTTTCCTAGGCTGCTAGTTCAATTGACGCGGAAGATGGATTGAGGTTTATGCAGGAGATGATTGAATTGTCAAGTCAACAACAAAAAGAGCAGCAGCTACCTCCACGAGCTGTACAAATTGTTTCTCACCCATTTTTTGGCCGGGTAGTATTAACTGCTGGTCCAGCTCAGTTTGGGCTAGATCTGTCTAAACATAAAGAGGTATGTACACCTATAATATGCTTGTTGAAATTGAACTCAAATATTACTTAAGTATTGTCTAATTTCTTAGTCTCTTTTCTAATTTAGTAGTTTTAACTTATTTAAAACACCTAAATATTTAATCTCCCAGATTAAAGTAGATTAAAATTAAAAGTGTATCTTGAAAATATTGAGTCAATTTATATATGCAGTATGGTTATAGAATTTTACTTAAAATGTTCAGATATTGTTCTCTAATTCAATGCCTTTAACTTATCTAAAAATGGTTTTCAAACTTTTTAACTACTGAAACCTTTCTTTGAACAAAAATCTAACTCAGAGGCTTAATGTAGGGAACAGCTAAAGCAGAGGTGCTCTGGACAAGTGGCTGTGGAGAGCGTCAGACATTGAGGTTCCACTGAGCAAATTTGGAAGGCCATTAAGCTAGTCTATCCTATTAGTTTTACTGTAGGAAATGAAGTTCACAGGTTCAACTGTCTGACTAACTGGCAGCAAAGCTAGCCACTAGACCAGAACCCAAGTATTCTGATCATCTAAAGCCAATGGTCTTTGAACTCTGTTACCCCCAATTTAAACTTTTTCTAGTGTATATTTTAAAGCTATGTAGGTTTATAGTTGATTCATTTATTCAGTAACTCTTATTCTAGGCAGTATTTTAGATATTTGCTATGTATCAAGTTTACAAAAACCAGTGAAGATTTATGCCCTCATGGAGTTTACCTTCTAAGAGACAGAAGGATCTTAAAACATCTTTACACTCACATCTTTAAAATCAGTTCTCTGGTGGATTTAATTTTTCTTGGAAGAAGAACTGCTTGCAGATTCATGTAGATTAAATCCATTTTTCCCCTCTTTCAAAAATTTTTCCTGTTACCAGTGATGGTTTAGAAATGGTTCCCAGCTTCTTGTAAGTGTAGGTATGGGTATGTAGTGAGTCAGCCTGAGATTCCAACTTTACCACTTACTAACATTGTGACTTTGAGCAAATTATGTAAACTGAATCTCAGTTTTCCCATACGTAAAATGGAAATATTATCTGTATTACTTCACTCAGAGTCATTATAAAAATCTGGTTTAGTAATTTACGTAAAAATGCTTCATAAACAGCAAAGCACAGTAGAAATATTGGTTGGGTAGTATACAAAATGTTCAAAACAAAAATTTATGCTAAATATGTATTGTGTATGTTATCATTAGAAAAGAAGTGAGGTCTACTTAAAGATCTAGATATTGAATTTTAATGACTAGGTAGTGATTGGAGAAGATAAAAGATTACTTAAGTTACTTTTATTTCTGCCAGACAAGAGGATTTGTTGCAAGCAGTAAACCGTACAATGGTTGTTCAGAGCTTACTAACCCTGAGGCAGTGATGGGAAAGATTGCTCTGATACAAAGAGGACAGTGCATGTTTGCAGAAAAGGCACGCAACATCCAGAATGCTGGAGCCATCGGTGGCATTGTTATTGGTAAGTAAGCCTCCATGTCATTGTGTTGACTAAGACATAATTTTTAGGATTTTTCCTTTCATTTTCCAAACTTTTATCAGAGTTTGGCATTATTTTTACTTCACTAGCCGGCATAATGGTTAGGTAATCCAGTGACTCTCTTAAGAATGTGTATATATCTCATATCTTGTTTGAAAGTCTAGATTTGGGTTTCTGTATATTAATGCCAATAAAAGTACTTGGGGTCCGGTGTGAAGGTGCAGTAGGAGTGAGTGCTAAAAACACCCAATACCATGGATAAAAAAATGGGCCTGCGAAATCCAAAGCCCCCTAGGAGCAAGAATTACACCCTGCCACCTCCAGTGGGGAGTCACTGAAAGGATCCATTACCCCACATAGGTGCCGGCTTTGGAGTCAGACACGTGGGGTTGTAGTTCCTGGCTCTACCACAAAATCATGTTGTAACCTTGGCCCAGCTTTAGTTTCTTTATCTGTTTATTCCATAGCGTATTTTTTAGCTCCAGTGAAAATGGTAATAAATATCTTATAGGTGGTTGTAAGGTTTGAATATAATATATATAAAATTTCCTAAAATAACTGACATATCATGGGTATAAGCACTAGATGCTAGCAAGTTTTTATCTCCTTGGGTATTTTTCCACTGAAATTATAAACTTCAAATCATTTTACGCATGTATTTCAACCAGTGTGTTTGCCTTTTCATTTTCCACAAAAACATCACTGATATCGTGACAAGCAGGGCATGACTATCAGGGAAAATATAAATTTTTCTATGCTTTAAGTAAATATGAGTTTACATTCAGAAAGAACTGGAAAACCTGAGGTCACATCCTATTTGTGAAGTTAGTTCTTCTGTATAGATTGTCTCCCAGGGGAGCTCCATTTTGAATTTGTTCTTTCTAGTTAGGATAGATTTCCTTTTTGAACTCAGGGTAAATAAACATTAAGAGATTTAAAATAAAACAGTAGGATTTATTTCAGTGAAAAATTATTTACTGTGCCTTTTGCTTATCTCATATCGGCACACCAGTGTTGATTTAATGAATGCATGAATTTCATTACTCTAAGTAAGTATTAGGAGAAATTCTGCTTCATAACTTAAATGAGTGGTTGGCAAACTGCAGCCTGCAAGCCAAGTTCAGCTCACTGCCTGTTTTTGTAAATGAAAGTTTTACTAGAACACAGCATGTCAGTTTGTTTCCATGTCATCTATAGCCACTTTCAAGCTACAGTGGTGGAGTTGAGTGGTTGTAACAGTGACAAGCAGCAGAGAGACTGAGGGTCAGGTAGCCATCCTTTGTCTAGTCAGTTACTGCTAAGGGGATGGGTTCTACATGGTATTCTCCACTTAGAAGGACCTATCCACTCAAGCTGTCTGAGAAGGGATGGGTAGGTTCTCCAGGGAGACTGGCATGTAAGATTAGGGCTGGACATAACTGGCATCACCAGTAAAACAGTATTTAGCAGTCGTACTCCTATTATTTAACTGGCGTAAAGTAACAATAGTGTTTCATTCAACTTACAGAGGAAAAAACAGTATAGTCATAATTATTCCTTGTGAACAGTAATATTAAAAAGAACCGTCAATTTGTAGTTTGGTAAAACAATATAATGCCATTAGAAGAAATCCTAAACAACAATAAAATTTCATAGTTCTATCATTGTAATTCAAGTCTTTGAATTTTTCCATTTTTAGGCTTTTTCATAAGCATATGAAATTTTTATAGTCATAATCCTAGAATATGTAATAATAACATTTTGTTTTTCTGTGTGTTCCCTCAGGTAGTTCGTTATAATTTACTTATAATAGTTTACAGTTGTTGACAGTTACAAAAAGCACTCCAGTAAACTTTTTCAGGCATAGATCATTTTGCTGCTTTTGAATTATTTCCTCAGGATAGATTTCTAGGAGTAGAATTAGTGGGCCCCAAAAGTATGAGTGTTTCTATGGTTCTTGATGCAGAAAATTAATGCCGTCAACAGGTAAAAAACAGTAAAGATTGGTAGCTAGACCTTTTTAATGGACGAACGTTTATATGTTTGCTGTATTCATTTTCCGGCTAGATGACAACGAGGGGAGCAGCAGTGATACTGCCCCTCTGTTCCAGATGGCAGGTGATGGAAAGGACACAGATGACATCACGATCCCCATGCTGTTCTTATTCAGTAAAGAAGGAAGTATCATATTGGACGCCATCCGGGAATATGAGGAGGTAGAGGTCCTCCTTTCTGACAAAGCAAAAGATCGAGGTAAGGGTAAAAAAATCATTTGTATTCAGCTTAGCATTAATTTCCCTAACTTGATAACAAAAATGAGTTACAAAAAGATTATTTATGGTTCACTGGTAAAAGAAGTAAACGTTTTAGAAGATGGTTTCAAAATATATTTTTCTTTTGGAAAAAAGGGTAGTAAAATGTTTATTTTGCTTTATTTGCTGAGTTAGAATGTTTCTAGAATTATATTTTTGTATGTAATTTATAATTTTTGCTATAATTCGGCCCAGTGATGAAAATACAAGAGATTACACTGAGTCATTTTTAATATCCACAGATGTTCACCATTCAATTTCACTGATACTACATCTTCTATTTTTTTAATAAGGAATAAAAAGAGATTGTATAGAAGGGTGTTGTATACAATATAATAGTAGTGGGATTTTACCAGGCCACCTATAATCAAACGACCACTGTCTTGATGAAGGCAATAGAAATCCAGCAGCTTCTTTCCATTGAGATCCAAGTTCATCACATAGGTATTTATAAGTTACAAGAGTTACACATGGCTGATGCCTGAAGAACAAGATAGCATGCCTTAATTCATGATATAGTCCTCTCTAGGCCAGAATGTTTGTTAGTAACTTGAAAGCTCTTTGAAACCCAAATTGCTGTATAAATGCAAGGTCTTAACTAGTATTCTTTCATAGTTTCACATCTAGGAATAGAGGAGAAATGAGGGAAAGTGAACCATCAGATATAGACTGAAATCCTGCTTATAACAGCAGTCTTTCTTATCCACTGGAGATACCTATAGAGAGAGCAGTACTCCTCCCACCCCCCCTTAAATGGATAAAGTTGTATAATCTGCACAGGGTTGTTGATGTTGGGATGTTTGCTTGGTAGATAGGTAGGAAACTTATTCATTTCAATTCAGTATATCTTCCAAGTGGAACAATAAAAAAAAAAAGTTTAGCAATAATCTAGTGCTAGCCAAATTAGTGTTTTGTCTTGTCTTCTTGTATTGCTTTATTCTTTGAGATTCATTCAGATGTCAACTATTTAAGGACTGTGGAGTGAGTAGGATGTATGTAAGGATGTATAAATAGAAACAGTAGAAAGGATTTCTGATCTTCTTAAATCCGCCTATGTGCCTGTTTTTTTTTTTTCTGAGCCCTTTTTCCAACTCAGATCTTCTTTCCTATATACATGCATTTAAGGAATAAACACAGGCAAACACATCAAACACAGGCAAACACATCACAGGCAAACACATCAAACACAGGCAAAATATTATTCCATATAACTCTTTAACGCCTTTGCTTTTTTCCCCCCTATTTTGTGCTACCATTGGAATTTCAGCAGCAATATTAAAAGGTAAAATGATTCCGAGCTACATTGTTAACAGTAGTAAGTATCTTTAATAAGCCTTAAATTACATATATGTATGTGTATATATACATGTATATACACACATGTGTGTGCACATATATATATATATATTGCAGTGGCTACCATGATAATATCTGGTTTAAAGTAATTAGATTATTTTCATGTCTAGTCAGCTGTCCCATAATGATGATTTTTTTTTTAATTAATTAATTTATTTATGGCTGTGTTGGGTCTTCGTTTCTGTGCGAGGGCTTTTCTCTAGTTGCGGCGAGCGGGGGCCACTCTTCATCGCGGTGCGCGGGCCTTTCACTGTTGCGGCCTCTCTTGTTGCGGAGCACAGGCTCCAGACACGCAGGCTCAGTAGTTGGGGCTCACGGGCCTAGTTGCTCTGCAGCATGTGGGATCTTCCCAGACCAGGGCTTGAACCCGTGTCCCCTACATTGGCAGGCAGATTCTCAACCACTGCGCCACCAGGGAAGCCCCCATAATGATGATTCTTTATTGATCTATAAATCAATTTATTTATCTATAAATGAAATATCTAATAGGTGAATTCAGTAGTCCATACCCATGCAAGAGTCACTCTAACAAAGACGTTGTATGGCACGTGTTATTTTTGATTACTTTTTATTTGAATGCAGTGTAAAATATTTAAAAGATCTACTTGTTTAAAAAACCCATATATGTGTGTATGGGGTGAGGACTGGGAGACTGTGGTAAAGCGTGTGCTTCTTATACCAGAGAAAAGATATGAAAAAAGATCAGTTCTACTATTTAAAAAAAAAAAAAAAAAAGTCTGAACAGCGTAACAGTATTCCCTTAAGGACCTTGTAATAATAGGGCTTTATTTAAATTATATGTATATTTTAAGTTTTGATAGTCAATTTTTTGAACTGTATTTCTGTTATAGAGTGATATTTTGACAAAAAGTCTTGAAAAATTGCCCTTTTGGTATATAGCTTTTTAAAGAACTGTACAGCATTATTAACTATCAACAATGAGTTATAATTGTTAATATTTATCAGTGTAACTAAAGTCAATGATAATAGTTTTATTAAATCAACTGCTTTATTCACTTAGGAAAATATTCTAAGTTAAGGTCTGTAGTGGTTATCATTAATTTGTCCTGTGCCATTACTGCAAGCATCAGTGTTTCTCTTCTGCATCAGAATCAGCTGATGTAGTAGTTAAAAGTGTAGATTCCTGAGTCCTACTCCAGAGTATTGAATCAGACTCTCTGAAAGTGGGGGATCAGAATCTGAAATTTTAAACAAGCATCCCAGTTAATTGCACACAGCTATACTTTGAGAAACACTGAACAAGACCAAGAAGGCACCCCACGCCCCTCTTTTTTAATCTCCTAGCTCTGTATCTGGCCATATTGTGCCATCAAGGGTACTAGGTGGGATTATATAAGTACACCAAATAATAGCAGCCTTAAATCTGAACGATAAAATGTCATCCAGATTGGCTTTTCTAAAAATCTCATTCCACAGATACATATTTCCCTTAAAAAGTCACACAGTTTTGATTGAGGCATTCTTCCCACGTATTAAGACAGAAAACAGAAACCCCAGAACAAGCCCCCACTCCCACCTTCTAATTCTGGTAAGTCCCAGCTATTAATATAGAAATATCTGCAACAGTCCTATCTGCTAGCAAAAATGTCCAGATAACTTACTACACATTCTTCTTCAGAAATAAAGCATTAGTAATTTATCAAGTGGAAATGCTGCTTCCTCAGATCAAACCAGTCACACTTCTAAAAATTAAGTTATCCATAGGAGTGTTAATATCATGTCTGTCATGTGTCCGTTTCCAAAATTTCAAGAATTTGTAAAGGTACTTAATAATAATTCCAAACCTGTGCCCACAAACAAAGGACACTGTGTTGTTACCCCACTGTGTTGATCCAAATTGAAACAATTTACAATTGAGATTCAATCGACTTTTCCCAGTAGTATTTCTCAATGGGGAAAAGAAAATCAGCATTTAAAAATTTCAATACATTGTCATACTTATAGTTTATAGTGTAGAATTCCAGTGCCTCAAGAGCTATAGACAGATATTCTCAGGGCTACTCCTATATTTGTGTCTGTCTGGTAAAGAGGCAGACAGAGAAAACAGGAAGTAAAAGAAAGGTCTCATGGTTTGAACTGCTCAAGATTTAAGTGTGGCAGTGTTACTTTTCCTAAGATTATCCTCCACTGAACTTGATTGCAGTGAATCTGTCCTTTGGTTGATCTGTAGAACTTAGATTGCTATTAGAAGGAATTTGATTCTGAGGAGACAAATCTAGTATGCAAACAGATGGCATCTTTGCCTGGAAAGGGGCAACTGCAACATTAGCAGAATCAATACTTACCTACCCCAGCTTCTCTTCTCCAACCACTGCGTGTTTTCTCATGCACTTTTGCATTTGCACATCTCTTCCCTCTTTCTGGAAATGCCTTGTTAATCCCTGTCCCACTCCCACAACCTTTTCCTCTTTAAAAACGTTCAGTCATTCTAAATACCAAGTATTTTAAATGCTATCTTTTCTATGAACTTTTCTCTTATTTTCATAGATAAAATGTATGGACATCTTCTTAATATGGTTGCACAGATACTTTGACGTTTATATTACATTGTACTTCTTTACCTGTGTGTCAGCTCTGTATTCCTTGCTTTCAGTAAATGCTGGTTGTGTGGATGAATGAATGATTGTAGAACATCCAGTCTCGAAGTCTTTGCCAAGGTTCCTTTTGTCCTCTCATTATTAAAACTTAGTACTTTTCTTTTTTTTTTTTTTTTGGTATCTTGAGATTTTCTTCATTCTTTTTGTTTCTTTTTGCTTCCTGTGTTTCTGATACACCGTTCCTGAATTTAATGATGTAGTCATTACACTCTTAGGACCATGATACTCCATACTGTGACAGCAGGCACCTTAGAATGAAGATCTGTAGTGGTGTGGTAGATTCTTCCTTTTTGTACTTCTCCAACTGCCATTTTGATTTAGCTGATTGTTGCCACTTTGCTATATATCAGATATTCTTATATATTCGATCTGTTTTGGGACTTGCTCTTCTTTTCCACTAATCTGTTTGTTTATTCCTGTGCCAATAATAAAAGTTTGCTATTTTGAATAAATTTTAATATCTGATAAGGCAACTCTCCTGTCACTAATACTTTTCAGAATTTCTTGACTTCTCTGTGATGTATACTCTTCCATAGGAATTTAAAAATAATTCTATCTGGTCCCAAAAGAAAAGAAAAAGAAGTAGAATTGGGATTCATTTTGGAATTGTATAATTGCACACCTTACATATAAACAGGAAAATTTTGTTAAATATTGACTTTCCATCCAGGAACATACACTTACCTGTAAATTGAATCAGATCTTGTTTTAAGTTTTTATTGAGATTTTATAGTATTAAGCAATAAGATTTCTTAATAAATTTAATTCTGTGTTGTAGCTTCTACTTCTATTGGGGTTATTTGTATTTTATTAGCATTATTTGTATTTTATTGGGGTTATTTGTATTTGCCTACTTATTTTTACCCTCCTTATCAAATTCTTTTATTATCTTGATAGTGTTTTTAAAAATTGAGTTGCTTTGAGTTTAAGTATAAAACACAATCTGAAAATACACTTGATCTTTCCT